GGAGAGAGATCAGAAGCAGGACCAACGGCTTTACGTGCTTTCCGAGGCACGGGGGTGAGGCACCGCCAATCCGGACAACTACAGAAAATTTCTTGACGGAAAAACTCAATAATTAATTTTTTGGCCCCACCCAGAATTCGAACCTCATGATCAGCAGTCGCACTACTACAACCACTAGACCAACGAGGCAGCAAATAGTAGCTTAATGCTGCTGTGTTTCGTATGGTGAGTGTAGAGAACCGGAGATCCTTCTACTGGAAACGAGGCACTCCATCTTAGTCCTTACGGGTGACAACGCATCTGCATTCTGATTTGCAATCGAGGATAGATGTAGATGTCTATGGGCTGCAGCAACCACTTACCATCAGGTGGACTGTGTGCTCGTTTGTCACCCTATTCTATTAAAAAAAAAACTCGCTAGGCGCGCGCGCGATACTGATCGCAGATGGCCGGCGCAGTGAAATATATGGTACATTTATTTAATTAATTAAAAAATAATAGTAACGATTTAAAAAGTAAAAATAATAGTATAGTTTAAGCAAATGTTGACGGTTATTTTGGTATAAATTTTACGTCAATATTATGTAGAACTTGGGAGATATTGGGGCTTGCATCGAAGCTTTTTCGGTCGTTAATTGAATTATGTCGATTTTGTTTTCCTTACGGGAACGGCATGTAATGAAAATGTATTATATATATGATTATTAAAACATATGATAGTTGGGAGATAAAAATATACTTTTGATGGTCGATATTCAATATAATCTACATATTAAGAGCTCTCAAGTTGTGTCTCCGAGAATTTTTATCTAAACACGCATCGGAAGAATGGTTATAACTAAATAAATAAATAAGTTATCTAAAATTTGCTTTGAGCTTATTGTAGTAGAGAAAACGAACTATTTTTACCAATTAATTTCAAGCAACGAACGAAAAACATACAATTTCAACGATTTCCTCGTTGAAATTATTGTAAATTTGCTTTTTTTTTCGTAATACTCCTCTGGAAATGAAGGTGTTTTAATAATTTATATAACGTACTTCGTGAAAATGACTGAAGTTCTGGATCATCACTTACGACTTGAAGAACCTAAAAATTAATATATGGTGTAGAGAACTATGAACTAAAATTTTAACTACAGTTTGCAAGCATCATTATCATACTTGCAAATGCTATTTAAAATTAAAAATATTAAATAACCAAAATTGGCATTACCTTGTTCAAGGATGGTAATTGGTTTCTATAAAAGAATTGATGTACCTTTCGAGGTATAGCTGAAAGAGTGAAATCGTCCGAATTATCTTTGAAATTTGATGTAGAGCCAGGTATTTTCGGAGAGATAAAATTTTCATTCTCTTTGTGCTCCTTCAGCACGATGTACATTGAAGCTCTGGATATGACAAGCATTTCGGCAGTTTTTAAACATTCGCTTTTTTTGGCGTCTCTCTCTAGCGTTCATGATCATATCTTATTCCGTTTGGCTGAATGATTTGAGTTTTGTTCTTGGCGATACACTTTCTTCATCACGCCTACGCGACGACGTAGAAGTCTGAGCGTCCAACGGGAAGGAACGGATGATAGGGAAGTTATTTCCGGCTAATATAGTTAACAAAATACGACGACGAATTCTAAATGCAAGGGTTTTGTAAATGTATTTCGGCGCAACCATATGGTATCAAGTTAAAGTAAGTTCCGTATTTTTGAAAAATTCTACCGTTTTGTAAGAGAAAGGAGTTAGATTGCCGCTTTACCATGTACGGGAATAACAATAATGGCATCTGTCAATTTTTTGTTTAATAAGGCATCGAAACATGTGAGTGTATGGCCACACGACGCGCTTCCGCTATAAACTGGTCTCCTATTGTTCGGATCACTTTCACTGCCAGTTGGAGGTGGGCAAAGTGTATCATTTTTGCGATTGGAACATTTGCATCTCGATCACTAAAATGTTATGGCTCATTCGGATCATCGAATCAAGAGATATAACATACAGAATGTTACGAATACATTAATTTGCGTCGCGGGCGTTTATTATTGACTGATTCAGTGAAATATTATGTGGCAACAATGCTGAATGATATAAGTGCTTAGGTTATTTTTATTTTATATTATATAGTAATATTTATTGCTATTTATTGTGTACCATAATAAGGTTGTATATAACACCGATCCTCATTCATACTTTATCGAGGCTTAGGAGCTTAGGACTGACGGCTAGTCCTTAATTTATGGCCAGCTGGCGTATTATTAATGATGATAAGGAAGAAAGTAAGTCACAATAATCACTACACAAAGAAATTCTAAACAGAACTCAGTATGTTTTCATAAATAGGCGCGAACGAACATATTTCGAACACAATTTGACAAGTGCCGATTCAACCTAAAATGACAACGTGTTACAAACATTATTTGCAATAACCGACTGTATAGTATTTGATACATAAGCGCCTTAGTGGTAATTTTTACGTGCATGAATAACTTCTCGTTTATTATCTCTTTCTGACTTGTACAGATTGCTATTATTTCGCCCGCTCACTCGCCACTCTCTCGCTCGCGGCTCAATCGCCTCGCGAGCGACGCGTCGAAGTAGTGTTTCAGATCCAAATGATGCATTTAAAACGTTGTTACTGAACCAATCTTTTCCCAGTCATGTCCTACGCGGGCCCCGTCTTTGCCCACGCAAACCCTAACATTTTAAATGAACTTCAAATAGTTCAGAACCTCTTCTGTCGTCGAGCTGTGAACGCACCGTGGTACGTCCGTAATGCCGACCTTCATCGGGACTTAGAGCTCCCAACAATTCAACAATTTTTTAAAAAACTCTCTGAGAACTTCTTCAAAGCCTCAGAGTCGCACCCAAACCATTTAATTCGTGAGGCAGCTTCTTATGCAGCCCCACCCCCCTCTCGCTATCGTGTCCGCAGGCCGAGAAACTCTCTCGGACCCGCCTAATAAACTTTCAAACGACCTGAACTGTCTCCTGGCGGCTCAGGCCAACTCTAATTAAATAAAATTATTGTAATATCTAACATTAATTTGCCTTCGTAGGCACTCCCTCAGCGGCACTTAGCCGCCTGCGCCCTCTTTTCCCAAAAGAGGGTCGCTCATGATAAGGCACAATAGAGCTTAATCAGCCGGTTGCCTGTCCCCAAAGGCGTTTTTTAGAGGGTATCACTTAGGGTCCCCGGTAGGACAGTGAGCCCCTCATAACCACGATAGACCGGCTATCGTGGTATGCGTAATGCATTTTCCGCCTCCCTACGTATAGGGTAGCCCTTTAATTGCTTCGGGCGCAAAAAAAAAAAACAATCTTTTGAATCACTTAAGTGTTTCGGATCAGTGAATCGTAAAAAGTTACACACGCCTACGTTCCAGTGTATTAGACATGTGTCAATCATTCATTTATCGTGACCTAATTATTCTAGTACATTTCGTCACGCGTACCGGTACGTTCGGATCGATCATACAAATGGATCATTTTGGGCTCCAGTACCCTACGCTAAAAACAATTTATTAAGATCATTCGGGATTCGGTCGGTTTTCAACTCATTCAACTAATCACGAGTTAAAAAGTTTCCGTCAATTGTTTATGATTGGTTGTACCGGAACATTAAAAAACAGATGAATGAACCATCAATACTTTTAAGTGTACCAGCTCAAACGAACCAATCATTCATGATTGACTCATGTTTACAGTGTATAGTGCGTCGTGCGGCCGTGTGTACGTACGTAAATTTTAATGATACGCTTTGCAATAGAAAACTTTGTAGGTAATTGTCTAATAAAGATACGATTCAACAAACCGGTATCTTAGGTACAACACTTCACAAACTTGCTTGCAACATTATTTTTATATTTGAAATTTGCGTGTGTCAATTTAGTCCCAGAGATAAAAAAACACGACTATATATGTGATAAGTGGAAGGGGTATGATAAGATGTAGTGCGGCATCATTTGGGAGCCCGTTTATAGTGCTATTACATCTCTCACTCCCTCCGCACGATGGTAGTGCTACCTTTCTCGTATTATCATTACAGCCCTTCACAAGTCCATTGCTAAACATAGGCCTGCCCCCAAGGAATGCCACAAAGCGTGGTCGTGAGCCACCTGCATCCATCGACTTCCTGCATTTCTTATGATATAGCCCAACGGATTAGTAAGCTGAAGTGGCAATGGGTCGGCTATATAGCTTGAAAAGCCCTCACCTATATCTGCTGCCAAATAGCAAGTTTAAGCACTGCTAAGTTCCGCTTTGAAAAAGTATAGAAAATATATTTACAGGCTGTGAGGCATTTCACTTTAGTCCTCGGAGCTGATATGAGTTTATCGTTTGAAGGTGGTTGCAGGTGACCATGAACTGCAGTAGCCACTTACGATCAGGTGAATTGTCACTTTGTGTGTCACTTAAGTTATAATAATAGAAGGTCGAATCAGCCGATTGGATTCTCAGATAAGCCGGTTTTCTCGTGACCATGCCGACCTTATCTCAAGAGGTAGGTCAAGACCCATGCAGCTTCCTACTCGTAACTCAAGTTTTGGAAGTCTGTATTGTAAGTCTCTCTTTTCCATTCTCTTCCATTAGCCGTCATCTCACTTCTTTCTTACTCATATCATCCCTAACACAGTCGAACCATCTTTTCTTAGGCCTCCCTCTTAATTTTATATCCATCCACTTTCATATCCAACATTCTACTTCTTTTATGGTTTTATTCACTCTGTATAACGTCTTCATCACGCTAGCCTACTACTTCTTTACTTTTCTGTGCCTGGTGGCACTTTCAAGCAAATTCAATCTCTTGAGGTACTACGGCTTTCTTACTCTGATACATATAATTAAATCGTATTAATATTTAAGTTGATTATTACTTTTAAATAATTTGAAGACCTATTGACCTGCAAACTAAATCAGCGCTGAAGCGACACGCGGTTGGCTCTTCTGACTCTACAAAATATATAGTAATATATAGGCAGTTAATTTATTTTAATATTTTACTTTCAGCTTTCCAGTTTACATATACAAGTCTCTTTGGTGCTTACTCTGCGTACTTATTTCTGCGAACTGGTAAGTTCAAACTGTCTTCACTGGTTGACATTCATATTTATTCTATACTTTTTGACACTTGATGCCATTTATATAATATTTATTCTTGCCTGTGTTTGCTTCATTGAGTAAGGGGTTAGAACAATAGTATAGAATAGGGATAGGTATTAGTACTTTTATTTTTCAATATCTGAAATTTTGAATAAAGTGTCGAGTATCAATGAATTGAAAAGTGAACCATATTTTTATAGTAAAACAGATGTAAAATATCGTGTATTATTGATACTCTAGTTTCTAGCATGATTTCCAAAACCTTCGTAGATATCTAAAAGAATTCTTAACAAAAATTTCATCAATTAAAAAATTTCGTATCTATTATCTAAGACAAAAGGAGCAGTAGGCCTGCTATATAAACAAAATAACTGACAACCAAACTGGAGAAAAAGGTTCTCGAGTGGCCGCCCTGTACTGGTAAGCAGAGAGTAAGACGCCCCACACTAGATATAATAACAATTTGGTAATAGATTTAGGAAATCAATAGATGCAGGTGGCTTAGGACATACTTTGTGGAATTCCTTGGGAGAGGATATTATTATTTTATTAGGAATTATGCAACTGGGCCACCAGTTATCTCGCAGATCGGAGAACTTGAGGTCGTAGTCTTCAGTGCTTGCCCGGACTCCGCCTGTGAATGCTGGTGATCCATAAGTCTGCGTGTTATCACCTACCCTGTTTCTTTTGTATAATGTTACAAACTAGTATCATTAATTGCCATGCAGATTCTATTAATTTTTCTCAGGAACCCGTCGAGTACTATAACTCTTGTCATATTTCCACATTTTCAGGGCACTTCCCTTGTTGCGTAAATTTAATATCATCCATACCATCTAGATGCCTGGTGGACCGACGCCGCGCGATATTTTCGAAAGTTTTCTTCATTGCACCTCACTACCTTGCGGAATCTGTCATTTCCAACGATTTTTCAAAGCTATGAAAAATAGATTCTAAATTTGATACTAAATTAATAAATACACTCGTAACCCGTTGTAGATTTTTATCAGGATTTATAGTAAAGTAGATTTATAACAAGGGACAAACCTCATAGCAGAAGTAAAAAGAACTGGGTTATTTTTATGTACAGATTTATTTTATTTTCATTTTGGAGATGTCTGCTTTAGCAATAAGTAAGGCATTCTTGTTTTTGTTTGATGTCACTTGATATTTATTAATTTCCATTTGTTCAATTATATGACAGATGTAATGTGTTTTTATTATAATATTAAATTAATATTATGATATACCTTTAAACGAGCAATTCTTGTATATATATATATATATAATCGGAATCTCGGAAACGGCTCCAACGATTTTCATAAAATTTTGTGTGCAGGGAGTTTCGGGGGCAATAAATCGATCTAGCTAGGATTTATTTTTAGAAAATGTCTTTTTGTCCGTGTTTTTAGGCAATGAAAAACTGCTACAATATCGTTAGGATAAGAAGGTAAATTTTGACAGTTTATTAATGATTACAAATAGCTTAATTGGTATATTGGGCGGTCACAAAATCGTAATACCATGGTTCGAGCCCAGACCAAGCGACCGACTTTTTTAACTTCTTTTCAAGTTACTTTCTTTTTTGAGAAAATCTATTTTTTCGAGCCCTTTTTTTAGTATTTTTTAAAAACACGAAAATTTAAATTAAACTAATTGCACTAATGATTTTTTATTCAAATAACCAGTTCAGTTTTTTTCTATTATGTCGCTAAGATCAAAAAATATTATTCGTATTTCATCAGTATGTAATGTGTATCTAAATATAATTTCCAAAACACACGAATTAAAAAAAAAACCGAGCGAAAAATACCGAGCAAAGCTCGGTCAACCGGGTACTCATGATTAAAACCCCATATCATCGTTTGGCTATCGTAGCAGCGACAGATGCACAATGAAACAGGTGATTGACAACAGCATTCCCCTGACCCAAAATAATAAACCCCGTTCGCATAACAAGCGTGGCAGCTATGGCAAATGAGGAAATCTCTCAAACTATGGCAAAAGAAGGGAGGATTCTCTATAAGGACTTTTGATAAATTAATAAAACATTCAAGTAATGAATAATAGGTTTTCAGCATATTTTTAACAACTACAATAATAAGTTATTGTTAATAACTGTAGTCTATAGTCTCTCTGTGCCATTATCAATATTTAAAGTATGATTTTTGTTTCTCAGGTCACTTCGTTGCTCCTCTAGCAGCACACATGTTCTGCAACCACATGGGTTTTCCTGATTTCCTAGAGATTCGTTACTACCCTTCTATGGAACGACTTGCTATAATAAGTAACTTTGTATTAGGATTCATTTTATGGTGTTGTTTGCTAACCCCAATGACGAATCCATACATTTTCGATAATCGATTACATTGGGAGACTTGAATTCACTGTGAGAATTATAGTAATTTTGCTAAATGTAGCAACGAGATTTTTAGATGTCACCTCATTTCAGATGCAAATATGTAGTTTTGTTACCATTTGATCAATTACCATTGCACTACAAATAGTATGACTTCTAATATTGGCGTATCTGGACATATTTCCCTTAACGGTGGCGGCTTGGTATTTAAACTCGATAGCCGATGATGTCGAAGGATAACATTTTTCGTGAAACGTGTTTATTTTAAGTACAGAATTATTCATTAATAAATAACCCAATTTTTTAATAATCCTAATTTTGAATTTAAATTAAATCTTTACAAAAGTTTTTTCAGAAGTCAGATACTATATCTAGTTTCATGCACAAACCAAAGTAATAGTTTTGATGAGAATAAGTTGAAAGTTAACTTACGTTTAATGTAGATATAACGGAAATGTTGCTCTCATGATTAAGAGGATACCTTGAAAATGAATCGAAGTTTTCGGGGCGTGGCTTATTTCTTTGTCGGTGAAGCTAACGGACGACTGCGGGAGTGTCAAAATGAAAGTGATGCAATGACTTCATAGTACGCAAATTATGAGATAGCCATACCGAGCAAGCGCTCGGAAAAACTACGTAAGCGCCAAACAACATTTTTATTTATTTTAGCGAAACTTCGTTATGTATTAAAAAACTGGTTTATGAGAACTTAGATATGATTATTTACTATGGCTTAAAAATTATTCCATGAAATTATTCGTAAGAATATTGTGTTGTCATCGAGAAATGTAAATAATTAGCGCCTACTTTGCAATTTTTTTCTATCGAGAAAATTACATGGTATCGTGTTTTCCTTTTATGCAATCCAAGATCATATAGTCAAAAATCATATACCAAAATTTTGGTTAGTAATCTATAACACTTAAAAAAATATGTTAAAAAGAAAAACCACCAAATTCTCGAGGTATCACCTTAAACAATTTTTCAAGTTATTTTTTTAAGGAAATTCATCTACTTATATCTATAGTTTTCCCCTGTAGAAACAAGATTATTATAAATTGTTTTATATTTAAAATACAAAATTTTCACATACAAATATATGCAAACATTTACCTACTTTTGGAATTTCTATATTGTTACTAAATGAACTGCGGGTTTGTGCTTGAAATCATCTAAGCTAAAAAAGCAAACAATATCAGAAAACATAGTTATACGCAATTTTGTTTGTAGTTGATCTTAGCAACCGATAATAATTTACTAATATTGTTATGGGATGGAGTAATTTTAAAAATAACGTAACAAAGAAACAAAGTGGTTTAGAATATTTTACATTTGTGTATAAGAAAAACATGCATTACCAATTGAAAACAGTTTATTTCTGAATTTTTTACTTATTTTAGTGGACAGAGCAACCACACTATGGAGTGAAGAAGTAAGGAGTACCAACTCCCTTAATAGAATAGTTGAAAAAGTATCCATCTGTAAGCGGTAAATAACAGTTTAAAAACTCTTCACAACAGCGCTGGAGTAGCTACTGGGATGAAATGAACTTAGCAGTTGTCGACGGTTTGAAGTGTGCTGCTAAACTGCTCAATAGCTCTAAAATCTAAAATAATTTTATTTAGTAAATATAACCCCGAAAAAGCCGTCTATCTCACTAATATTTTTCGGCACGTTCTTTAAAATTTAACCCGTAGCTATAGTGGCGCCACCCTTATTTAACGGTTTTCTATGGACACTTTTTAATACACAGTCTGTACTCCTTACTTCTACACTCCATAAACCGCACGCTGGATAAGTTGACAGAAGAAAAAAAGTTGCCAAAGTAAATCAATACAAAAGTTACACTTTAATGTTGCCATACAAAATATTAATTTATCAATAAATTATTAGATTATTTTAAATGTTTAATTTGTACTGAACATAATTGGGCCGGGCAAAATATAAAACCAGTTTTATTTACTCTAAAGACAAACAACACAATTTAGATATAGACTTGCGATACACTTTATCTTTATATAGTTTGTACTAAAAAATTTGTGTAGTTAATGTTCCGTGCCAAATTAAGCAAAATGGAAAACATGGAATCACTTCGGTCTATCTGTGACAGAACTTTTTTCTGAGGTTTTGACGTATAAAGACAGACATTGAAGATTCATGTTTATGTGATCAACAGGCGTGACATCACGTATAAAAATGGTGGTTCAAACATATGATGCATTATTTTGTGTTTTTATTATCAAGTTATTAAAAAAAAAACTTATTATACATGTAAATTTTTTGTTTGTCGCTCAATTACGATAATAGGGCTTAACGGATTTAGGAATGCAGTATTATGGATAATACCATTTGGTTCGAGTGTTTGGTAGTTTTCCAACTTCTGCCTTACAGATAACGCGAATTATTCGCGTTACCAATACGTATTGTTCAGAAAATAATAAGGCAGATATAATAAAGCTCCTTAGAACTATTACAAGTATATTTTTGCCATGGCTTGCACAATTACAGGTTATATATTATTTATAACACATAATGTATGTTTATTCGTATACATGAAAGTTTATAACTATCTGCGGCGCAGACACGTATAATTTATCATTAGAACGGCCGTATGAAAGCGCTAATAGTTTACTATACTTGAGATTTAATTTACTTAATATTATTTGTTCAAGTCATTATTGCAAGCTACTAATGAATTATAAGACCCGTAGTCCGTTTGGTAACAAGGTAAATGTAGATTAGATTAGTTAACTGGAACAAACCTACGAATAATTAAAATAATTTGCCTGCGATATATTTATTACTCAACGGTATTGTGTTACTGCTTCATGGTGCTAAATTTATGGTATTTTTGTCACAGTTCATTGTTCCATTTTTAAGTTCAATACGTAAGAATTTTGACAAGTAATTGTAGTCTAATAATTGTTTGTATTAAAATTATAGTTTTTATCAACACTCTTTTGTCGATAAAAACGATCTCGTTGTAGTAGGTACATTTTGATATTTTATATATATATATATATATATATATATACATATATATATATATATATATGTATATATATATTAATTTTCTTGTATATATATATATATATATATATTAAAATTGTTTACTTACAAAATATTTAAAAAATCAACATAACTCCCATTTTATGTCCATTAATAATGTACTGTTACAAAAACTACTGCTTTGTCCAACATATTTCGTAAGTTAATATCTGTACTTTTTATTTGGATTTACATATTGGTATATGTGCCATAACGAAACGCATACTATTGTATAATTAATTTTAAGATTACGACAGGGTCTGCATGCATGGGTAAATGTAATTCATTGCCTCACTAGTCAATTCCTGTGTTGTTTTTTTTAGTTCGTTAATCGACTCGATAGTTAGTTTACTAAACAATGATACGTATGTAAAACTGTGACCTTATTGTATCATGTCATAATTATATTGACTTATATTTACGAGAATACTACAAATCGAATAAAAATAATACGGATTTTATTGCGCTTAATTTTACATTTTGATGTGTCGAGTTCATTACGAGTTCTAAAAATTAAACCGTAACGTAAAATTAAACGCGATAAAATAAGTAAATTGTATTGATGTGTCATTAATGTCGTTATAATATCTAAGTAGTGGTAAGAATTATCGCGCAAAGCGTTTTTATTAAGTCTTATTTAGATGCATGTGTCTCTAAAGCCACTCTAGAAATACCCAGAGTTAGTGGTCAGCTGACAAACCGTTGGTGTATCAACACTATCATAATCACACAACTCAAAATTATTAATATTCGGGTGTCTCACTTTCATAATATATTAAAAATCTCTCTTCCAATTTGTAACTGTTGCATCGGTAACAAGAATATAAATATATCAAATCAGCAAATACTAAAATAAATTAGCATATGAAATGAAATCTTTTTATTTTTCGATGTAAACACATTAAAACTTTAACATTAAAAAAATTAAAAATATGTCTTATAGGCAACTTCCAATTATTGTAACGATAGATGTTTCCGTGTTGAATTAACTTCCTATTTTGTTGACGATACTCTAGTCGTCTAGTAGTTAATTTACTTTAGGATGTAAGATCTTGTGCGACTGTATTCATTACAAATTGTCTATGGTCGTATGTACTTAACTCTTATGGGAACCACCCGTTAAACTTTAACGGACTTACCATTAAAAGTAAGACATTATATATCCTGTAGATTTGTCAAAATTCTAGGAGGAAAATTAAACTCTTGTATTACAATAGTCTTTTATTTTAATTAAATTCATCAGTTTTCCATTGCGTCGTTGGTGAATTTTACCAAATTATTTTTGTGGCGATTTGGTGAAATTCCTCACCGCTTACCACCACCGCAATAACTCTTCTTTTTGGCATTTGTCTTAACACGCACACGAGTTGCCACTGAATATGTAATAGAAAAAAATTATAAGGCCTGGTCCCAGTAGAGCCTGGCGCGGTCATTTTCGAGCACGGTTTCCGGCAAGTACTTTTAATACGGCAATTTCCGGTCCACGAGACCGTATTTCAGAGCGAGCTCCTGATGTAGAATTCTGATTACTAGGTTGTGCCTGTGCAAGTATTTAGAGTTAGAAAGCGCCAAACAACTGGAGATGACATGCCTAAGTGACTCCCCGGGATGACGACAAGCTCGACAGACGTCGACGGTGCCATCTTTTAGGATGTATCTCCGATAGTTGTTGGTCTTAATAACCTGATCCTGTATTGCATAGACAAAACCCTCGGTTTCCCCCGAAGAGGTCACCGAAACGTAGCCAGTTGAGAGAGGCGACTGTATCTACGAAGGGCTCATGTAGTACCTCCCGTGGAGCTCCTTCTCCTTCCATAAGGTATTTTTTTATAATATTACACCATTCATATTTATTATTATTATTATTTTATAATATTTCACTGTTTTTAAGTTTCTTTTTGTCAATCATTAAAAAATTGCTTCGCAGATACTACTTACCGACGACAGCGCGGTTATAAATTCTACAAATTTTCAG